GATATACAGAGAGACAGGCAGATAGACAGACAGGCAGATAGACAGACGATGAAGAGGAGTAGGTTCTTGCTCTCATTGGTCACATGCTCTGTCATATAAGAGCCGGGCCGAGCCGACAGAATCTGGGTGTAACCCGACTGATGGAGTCACCTCCACCCACAGCATGGACTCTGGAACATCTCCTTGAGAGGGGCTGGACCTTATTCCACTCTGGAGTTGTCCAGGGTGAGAGGCACAGAGCTGCTGCGGGTCTCCTCTTAGCCCCCAGTTGGTGCCTGTGTGTAGGAGTTTTCCCCGATGGGTGAGAGGACAGCTTCCCTGCACCTTCGGGTTGGGGGACGGGCTCCGACTGTTGGTGCCAAACGACAGTTCAGAGTATCCGGCCTTCTTGGAGTCCTTGGTGGGGGGTGCTGGAAGGTGAACCAGCTGGGAACTCCTTTATTCTGTTGGGCGACTTCAATGCCCAGGTGGGAAATGACTGTGTGACCTGGAGGGGCGTAACTGGGAGAAACAGACACTCTGACCTGAGCCCGAGCGGTGCGTTCACTGACCGCAGGAGGAAACGTAACTGAGACACATGGTGCGTTCACTGACCACAGGACAAGTGGTGCATCCACTGACCACAGGAGGACAAGTAACTGATTCACATGGTGCATTTACTGACCACAGGAGGACAAGTAACTGAGACACACAGTGCGTTCACTGACCACAGGACAAGTAGCTGAGTCACATGGTGCGTTCACTGACCACAGAAGGACAAGTAACTGAGACACATGGTGCATCCACTGACCACAGGAGGACAAATAACTGAGTCACATGGTGCATTTACTGACCACAGGAGGACAAGTAACTGAGACACACAGTGCGTTCACTGACCACAGGACAAGTAGCTGAGTCACATGGTGCGTTCACTGACCACAGGAGGACAAGTAACTGAGACACATGGTGCATTCACTGACCACAGGAGGACAAGTAACTGAGACACATGGAGCATTCACTGACCACAGGAGGACAAGTGGTGCGTTCACTGACCACAGGATAAGTAGCTGAGTCACATGGTGCATTCACTGACCACAGGAGGACAAGTAACTGAGTCACATGGTGCATTCACTGACCACAGGACAAGTAACTGAGTCACATGGTGCATTCACTGACCACAGGAGGACAAGTAACTGAGTCACATGGTGCATTCACTGACCACAGGAGGACAAGTAACTGAGCCACATGGTGCATTCACTGACCACAGGAGGACAAGTAACTGAGACACACAGTGCGTTCACTGACCACAGGACAAGTAGCTGAGTCACATGGTGCATCCACTGACCACAGGAGGACAAATAACTGAGTCACA